GAGGGATATTAGTTTAAAATTTGTGACTGTATTCCTTTAAATGCACCTAATATACTTATAATTTTTAAACATTATGTAGGGGAATCCTTACTACTATATACAGTATTATTGTAAGTCATTTTATCATAATATTTTTTTTAAGTGAACATTTTCCCCCTAATTAAAAAAAAAAAAATATTTGAATATTAAATAGTATTAAAATAATTGATACTTGTTTGTAATTTTGTAATTGCCCCGCCATTTAGTTGTATTAGTGTGCCGTTATTGTTCCTATAATTATCGTGTTCAGCTTGTGACTGATGATCTATTTTAAAAAATATAGGAAATAACATCATTTTATATTATAAGTAGGTTAAGTACATATTATATGATAAGTATGTTGTTAGCTTTCGTTATTGTATTACTGCTACTTCGTTTAAACCAATATAAAAAATTACATTTAATACGTTAAAATTAATTTTACTGAATTAACTACATCTGTTGTTTTCAACAATGAAACTGGAATTACATTTCAACAAAATAATTATGTAAAAACATAATTAAAGTTAAGTAGTGAAATGTGTAAAAATGGCCATATTATAATGTTTATTATAAGTGATTGTGATGCCGATCAGAAAAGAAGTTGCAGGAATGAACAATTTTATACGGTGGGCCAAATAATACTTTTTAGTAGGACTTAAGCTCCTCCCCCCCTGAACGTAATCAAACCACACAGGATAAAAAAATGTCTGATTACACTAATGGATAATACAAAAATATTAAGTCCCCCTTGGATGTGACTAAGTATCTGCCTAAGCCCCTAAGGTAACATTATATAATATTATTATTACTAACATTTTTTACTATATAAATGGGTTTTGAGTTTAAAAAAAGTAATAATCTAACATTAATATTTTAATGTCAAATAATTTGTGATCATTTTATATTTTTATCTATTTCACATTTCACAACATTAGTACCTCATTACCTACCTCCCTACAAATTATTATTGTACCTACCTATAGTACCTATAAACCTATTAAACAACATTTATCATTAAATATGTTACTACAATTTCTTCAATATAATATGGCATTACCTACATAAACATAGAAATAGGCTAAGTAAAACTACTAGCCTATAATGTATAGTGTAACATTTTTATTTTTTGTTGGGGAGAGGTGGATGGATATGTAGAGCAACAACTCACAAAAAATGATAAAAAAACCTCTTGGTCACCACTGGTATGTACTTAACGAGTCACATTATTACGAGTATTATTATTCAAAACTCTTTGAATGTGTTATGAACTAAATAGACACGTAGCATGAACAGTGAACGCGGCGGTGGCAAGCTTCGTGATGCGGGGTGGCATATTACCATTCTGCACACGAAATAAAACCCATATGAAAATATAGCTTTCTCATTGGTTTTACATTTGGGGGATAAAATATTTATTATTATCATCAAATTGTAGTCGGCTGTACTTTAATAGCTGCACCATCTTTATGCCTAAATGGTACTGTCATAGAATCAGCAGTTAACCTAACCTAACCAAAAATATGTTAAAATGCCCTTCTGTTTTTACTTTATCCAATCTATTTTCGAATTTAAGTAAATTTTCAAGTGTAGATTGGTTGAAATTTTTTACATTGTTAATCAATAGAGTTTTTATATCTTCTAATAGGTACAGTATTACTATCTTGTGTATTTGGTATCTGACTGTCTGCACTTGACACATGTGTACATTTTATACCATCCTTACAAGAGCAAATTCCTATATTTGGCTCAAAACAATACATCAGTTGTTGTTTATTTTGACTAGTAACATAATAATGCTCATTTTCTACAATAATTTTATCTTTTATAATATAATTAATTTTCTTGATTATGCTTTCAAAATATAATAGAGCTGTAGCTTTTCTGTCGTTGAAAACTCGAGGCATTTTTTTCTATAATACTTTCCAAATGTGCAACAAAATCTACTAGTGAAACTACATTATATACTTTGACTCGTCATAACACATTTTCATTAAAAATTCTAAATGACACCTCACTATAATTATTTGTGTGATGGCCTCTGGTTGTGTGGTCTCTCTAAGCTAAGCACCATCGCTCTTTTTGCTCTCAATGATGTACAATTACATATTTCTGCCATTTTGGATACATGCTCCCTGTATTAAGAGTAGCATCAAATGCTTTTTGAGATTATTATGTAGCAAACAAATTTAGATAACAACAAGGAGTTATTGAGGTATCTATATTTGAATTGATTAAATAAAATAGTAAAAAATCCACTAGACATTTAAGCATAAACGCCATAAACAATACTTTCTCTAGCTCTGATATGTTAAATGTTTAAAAAAAAGTTCTAGTACAATATACTAATTATTATTATTATTTTTCTAATTATCATATAATCATATAATAAAATACAGCTAATTTGTTCTAAAAATAACCTATTCCAAATAATATTACACTAATGATAACAATAATAGTTTATTCAACAAAAACAAAATAGCATATACCGGGTGATTCTTTTATCATTGAACAYTCATTATTTCAAAAATTACTAATGTTTTTGAAAATATTTTTATATATAGTCAAGTTGTTCAAAAACTAACGTTTTTATTAAAAAAWTRTATTTTTAAATATTTTTATCCTTATAATTTTTTAGGTTTTTTACTTTTTTGAATGACAACATAGATTTTTAATTTCATATTCCAAAGCACAATATTTTTCTAAGTATTTTGATTCATAAAAATCGAATTTAGGACCAGTAGTTTATGAGTTATAAGTATTTAAAGTTTAGACAAGCGGAGTAGTGGACAAACATTTTGCGGGGTAACTTCGTACTACTCCACTCTGCCATTCTAAACTTTAAATACTTATAACTCATAAACTACTCGTCCTAAATTCGATTTCTATGAATCAAAATACTAAGAAAAATATTGTGCTTTGGAATATGAAATTAAAACTCTATGTTGTTATTCAAAAAAGTAAAAAACTTAAAAAATTATAAGGATAAAAAATATTTTAAAACATAATTTTTTAATAAAAACGATAGTTTTTTAACAACTTGAAGCTATGTAAGATAATATTTTCAAAAACATTAATAATTTTCCTAATAATGAGTGTTCAATGATAAAAGAATCACCTGGTATACTAATTTAAATAATAGTTGTGTTTTCTATTTTATTTTTTTCATTAGAGAATATACAATCTATACAAAAATGCATAAAAAGAATATGTGCTACATTATTTAGAAAAACATGAATAGGGTGAGAGAAGACACTATCCAGTGATCACACTTCCATTTGCTTAAATAAATTTGAAAAATGTATTATTTTATTTATTAATTATTATTATTATTATTATTATTTTATTTTTTTTTGTTAATCATTGCACCAGTTTCTTTTTAGACGTCGTGGGGGATTTCCTGGAATGGTATGTGTGGCTAGGCCAAATATTAGAGAATTAGTGTAGAAATACAGTTTGTTAAAAAAACTTAAATAGCACGTTTTAGCTTCTTTGTGAACAGTTTTGTTTTTTAAGTTAGAATGAAGGGTAAAATTAGAAATATAAAATGGGCCATGGTGATGGAGTGCAGTATTAATTTGTTTTTAATGATTTGTATTTTGTTAAGATTGGATTTTTTGGCATTGCCCCAAAGTTGTGGACAATGTGTCCACATAGGCTTAATTAAATAATAGTATTATGTCTAATATGAATTTAAATTTGTTTGCTACATACATAATAATCTCTCCAACATCTAATTAAGTATTATTGATTTGATTATTATATAACTTAAAATTAATTTTTTTTATATTATACTTTGAAGGCAATATACACAATATGTGTAMATTTTATGTAAAAATAATTTAATCTGAATAGTGATGGTGGCATGGTAACATGGTGTTATTACTGTTATTGCACTTATACAACATGATTTWAATTTGTCAACAAAATCTTTAAAATGGGTTGGACATGATGACATTGTTTTTGCATTAATTTATCAATTAGGAGATATTAAAATTAATATTTCTATTACATGATGTATAAAAATCTATTTTTATTTTATTTTAAAGCCACTAGTATACAACTATGATAACTTAACAGTTACAAAATAATATGAATTTAGATTAACAACAGATTAATTCTAATATACTAATATATTATAAAGCCAGCCTCCAACAAAAATAATATTAATAAATTATAAATAATTAACTAATAAATATTTCTATCGCATGATTATGAATTAAATATTTAAAATATTTAAATATCTTTTGTCTAGATTATATTAATATAATTGATCATTGATCATTTTATAATACATTAATTTAAATAATTACCATCCAATTCATTACTTGATATAGTGTTACTTTTTATACAAATGTTGAAATATATGGCATTAGTCATTATTATTTGTTGTCTCCATCTTACAAATACATAAAATACCTGCAAATTGTATGGTCTTAATAATTCACTAAACTCTGTAATACTTAATGTTATTGAGTTTAAAAGTAAGATTATAATCTAATGGATGTTGTCATATTTTAAATTTTTTATTTAAATGCGAGTTATAAGCATTACAATTTCAATGATCTCAGAATTTGTTTCAAATTCAAGTATAAAAATAACCTAAGAGCTTCATGAGATTATATATATTCTTATTTTTCTCAATTATCTAATGATAACAATAATAATGTATTCAACAAAAATAAAATAGCATACATACTTATTAGATATGTAAGTACATAGTAATAAATTAGATTAAATTAAATAGGAATGAAAAAAATTTTGTTGAGCATGAACGTTATAAAAATAATGATAAATAATAATGAATATTTTAAATATTTTATCCCGCCAAATGTAGAACCAATGAGAAAGCTGTATAATCATATGGTTTTATTGCAGAATGGTAATATACTAATATGCACTCAGCATAGTGATTGATAGCGGACGTGGTGACAAGTGACAACGGTTGCGGGCTGATAAGACAACGCAAAAACAAAAACCGTTTTGCTCTTCACCCCCCGCCTTTAATCACACAGTGTCCACAACAACACGCCTTACGTTAACGGCACTACAGCAGCAGCAGTAGCCGTAGACCCTCGTTTGATTATTACTCTGTTCTTTCTTTTTATCGTCGCTTCCACATCAAAACATCGTACATCGAAGTCACACTGGTTTAATACAACTATATCATCATAATAATCAATAATATTTCAACGACGATAATAATAAATTTGACATCTAACATTGCCGAATAACGATCTAGATTACCGCTATCTGATAGCTGTTTATTCGCGTCGACCGGGCTAATTGCTCTGCGCGTTCTGCGTTCTGCAGTCGTTCCGAAGTAGTCATCGTCGTCGAAGTCAAACGAACAGCTAACGTAAAAGAAACAAACAAAATACTATCCACGTTGTCTGTCACCAGCGACCGGCTGCGCTTTCACTTCGACTATGGGTAAGGCCTCGAGCGCAAATGATTGTTTGTTGTGATTCGGCTATGTATAGTTATGTTTGAGGTTTCCAGCCCGGGTTGCAGATCCCATCAGCTTTTGTAGACCTAATGTCCTTCAAATAGAGTTAACGATACCTGTCTGTCCGCCTTTGTCCTCCAGTTTGTGATGTTTGGAGGTATTGTAATGACTATCCGTTGTTCTACCTTTTACCGTTATTCTTGGTGAATGACTGACAATCAAAATCTGATTGTGTTAATTTTTTGGTACTTTGTTTCTCTGTTAGTTTTACATTTGTTTACTGTTGATTATTTATATTTTGATATCTATGATTATACATATTGTATCTATAAAGTGGGCACCATGCCAGTCATACAGAATTGCATTTTCACTCTAACTATTATATTATACCTACACATAATAAGAGTTTAAAAYTACAAGTTAAGTCTAATGTTCGTATAACCAAAAGTGTATCGATCATAAAAATATTCTATCGACTACTTGCTTAGTTTGGCTAATTAGTGTCTTTTGGGTTCCTAATTTTAATTATATTACGTACTGGAACCAAATTGAAAAGAACCAGTTCTTAAACTGTAACTGAACTTACTGAATTGAAAGATTTAAATTAACTAGGTTCTTTTAAGTTCTAAAATAAAATTATTTTAACCATCATAATTTATTGTTGTATCATATTTTTATATAAATGATAAGGAATATATAATCTGCTTTTCCTAATATTTCTCATACTATTTTTCAAAAAGTTTTGTTTTCAATATTTTAACAGGTTGAGCGCCACAAGACCCATCTTTGATTTTTATTGCCATGATATAAAAAATTGAAATTTTAAAATTTTAAAATCGTATTTTTCATATTTTAGAAATATATTTAAGTATGTCTTAGAGATCTAAATCGCTGGTTTTTATAATTTTAAGAGATGAGACCCACAATTGGTTCTCATGGCAAAGATAAAGGATATTTGAATTGTTATAGCATATAAAATAATTTATATTCTAGTTTTATTGAATTTTGCTTATATTACTGTAATTAATTGAGCAGTTTTTCTTCCTTGTTCTCTTGCATTTTGTTTATAGCATTTGAAATATCTGCTTCGACCAACCTTCTTTAATTTATGTTTCAAATCTGGATGTAATGCTTCTTTTATAGTTTATCTTTCAACTAATAGTGAACGAAAATCAGTTATTGAAATTTTTGAATAAGATGCTTGCATTTACAACACTAATATTAAGTATTAAACCCATTGCAACTTTTCTACATATACCATTTTAAACTCCTTAATGGATTTGAATATCATGCCATTTGATCTGCTAAATCAATTTATGACTTCCTAGTATTATAGTCTACTACCACTTGAGGTTTTGTTTTTATTGTATTGCGATGTGATATTTGAACTGTCATGTTTAGTACTAAGCATTAACAAATCACGCTTATCCTTCCATTCCAAAACAAGTATATTAGAAGAACTTAATTCTCATTGAACATGATTCTCCTTTTTTTAGCTTCTTTTGGATTTTGTTTACGATTAGATCTCAAGGTCCCAACGAAATGGATTTTCTGTTCTCCTAATAAATCTGCCAAATGAACACTAGTGTACCGATATTATCAACATACATAGTGCGTCCAAAATTTAAATATTCAGCAGCTAAATCAATAACAACCTTTGTAGATACACTAATATTTTGATCAGCTTCTTTTCCAGCGTAAACTTTCATTGCTAAAGTATAGCACGATGGAACACATAATTTAAATATTTTTACTCCATATTTATGAGATTTATTTTGTATGTATTGTTTAAAAAGTAACCTAACCATAAAAGGTATTACTGATTCATCTGGGATATAACAGATATCATAATTTTTAGTTAGTTTCTACTCATTACTCGTCCAACGTTTGTATGAAATACAGCAGATGTACTCCAATAATGGTCATAACTTGGTAACTGAACAAGGCCCATCCATAGAACAAAAATCAAAAAGTTATCATGAATAGATGATAGATTTTTATGTTAATAATAAAACATTATTAGTTATAAATTATAACTCAAAGTACCTAAAATCATATTGTATACTAATTAAGTATCTACATATTAATATTGTGTTATGCAATGCACTAATTTTTAGATATATTTTTAATGTAACAAATAATAACAATATAATTAATTAATAATTTTCATCACTGACTAAAGTTTTAACTATCAGTCAATTCAGAGACTTCCATCAGGTTTAATATACAAATACAAAAATGTATTTGGTGTTGAAAAGAATTTGAACAATCTTAAACAATTTCATCCTCASTACTTGAAAGTTACAGAATAAATAGTAATTTTATACAATTAACTTAGTATAAAGTCTAAAGGAATTCTTTAGAAATAATGTATTGTATTTTATTTACCTGTATTTATTGATCATCTTCAAAATTAGGATCATTGTCTGTGTCATCATAATCACTATACGGTTCCAAATCAGAGTCAAAAATCAATTGTTCAATGCCATTATAACAAATATTAGAATTCATTTTTTCAGACACATGAATATAAACATAATATGAAATTGGAATCATTTTGTTTATTTTAATATTTACTATACCTTAAATATAAATATTTATAATTATATAAATAACACACAGTATTAGCAAGACCCAAGTATGGTTCTCATGGCAATATAAAAAAATTCACCGAGAACCAAATTTGAGTCTCATGGCAACGTTGGAAGAAACTATAAAAACCCACAAGCGCTTAACCTGTTAAATTGTATTATTCTATTAGTTATGTAGGTACATTTAATACAGACTGCAGACTGTATTTTAAATGCAGAATGTACACACAAATATTTATATGTTATACACTTTTTTTTACTTATATAAAATACCTTACAAATTGTGATATTCTAAAATTGTTTCACTAATCTATATTGTATAATATATTTACATTTATGTCTTGAATGATTCATTTAGGTATACTTAAAATTTCAAATACAGTATGCGGAATATTTTTGACAAATAGTTGTTGTGAGTGGTAGGTATAAGAGGATAGTTTTCTTTAATGGACTAGTTTTTATTTAAAAAAAGGAAAATGTTACAATCGATAAACTGGCCTTTCTGGGTTTGACCACCCAAGTACTTCTAAGACAACCTACAATAATCTTCTGGGTTATCTTGCCTACCCAAATATTTCCAAGGTACAAGGTTAGGTTCATTCTAGATTATTGACTACCTCCAAATAGAAATCTAAAGTATAAATCTATAAAAGTACATTCCCACATTGTAGTATGTATTATCATAATATACAATTTAATTTTGTTTTCAATGTACAATTTACTATTAACATATCTTGACATCCGACCATTAACAAATTTATGTCGGTATTTATTTSGACAATAGTAATAGTATTAGGTAGTTTTTAGATATCATTTATGCTGATTGTTGGCATTGCTTAACACCGAATTATAAAAATCATCCGGCTTCAATTACTATACAGTCAATCATATTAATAACTTTGTAGACCCAACTGCTGGAGCACACACTCAAACAATTGAACGCCTTTGGGGATCGGCAAAGTGGCATAACCAAAAACTGGATTGATAAGCTTGCCTTCATCTAGATTCCTATCTAACTGTATTTGTTTGTTGACAAAACTTGGGAAACAATCCATTTTACAGAATTTTTATGGATATTAAGACTTAATTGCCTCTACAAAAAAATTATGAGTTTCGATTTTAATTTTACAATAGTTACAATAAAATAAGAATTTTTTTTTAATCCATTACCATATTATAATACAAATATTTTTATTTGTTTTAAAAATGTCTTTATACCTGGGYATACATTATTTTTAATCTTAATCTATAAAAACAGATTCATATCTGTCTGTTTGTCATTTATGCATTCCTAAAACGGCTGGACCGATTGCAACGAAATTTGGTATAAGTAATATTAGACCTGTGGGCAGAAGATTGGCTATGTTAAAAAGTGATAGGCCAACCTCGGAAGTGGTCAAACAGATATTTTGAGATTTCTGATAGAATTTTTTATTTATTTGTAAATGGTTGTTTTTAGTGATGGTTGCTGATTATTATTATATAACAGGGGTGGCCACAACGAGGCTCGCGAGCCTCATGCGGCTCCCGAGTGAGTATCGTGTGACTCTCGACACCAAACTTGGAGTAAAATTAATTCATAAAATATAATAAGCACTTCTCAAAAGTAAAATCCCATTTCTTAATGTATACCCGCCCAAACAATAACGCTCTGTGTTGTGTAAAAAAACGAATTTTCCTCTATTTGCTATAAAATTAAAAATATGTTTTTATTTTATAAACATACTTACCTATCTTAACAATTTGGCTTATTTCGAAATAACTTCATAAATTTGCGGCTTCTAAAATTAAGGTTAGTGGCCACCCCTGTTATATAACATATATCCTTGAATTATTGTTAACTGTGCACTTCGCAGTTTGTTAAAAATTCTACCTCTTAAATGTGTTTTTGTATTTTTATAATAATAACATAATTTCTTAACAGTTATACTTTCTAAAAAAAGGTTGATCACCATCGATAGTTGTACGCCTTAAGCACAAAAGAAAATGGCTATACGAGCTTTAGAAATGTATTTAAAAATGTATTTCTATTCTGTTTATCCTTTATGTATTCCTAAACGKCTGGACCGATTGCAATAAAATTTGGTACAAAGATATATTAGACATATGGGTAGAAGATAGGCTAAGTTAAAAAGTGATAGGCCTCAAATATCATTTAAGATTATTTGGATTGTCAGATTTTTCTTGAAAAAACTAATAAATTTACATAATGATAAACTAAATTGAATACCATCGTATGATTATTACTTAGTATATTTCTACCTTTATCTGTCAATATAAAAATATACTGCTAGTATAATCATTGGAAACAAATTTAACATACAGTTTGAGACTTTAGGTAGGATTTTAACGGGCTATGAAATGCATGCAGTGTTGAATCCAGGTATACTACAGGGGAGGCATTCGCCCCCCCCCCCCTGACAAATTCAACTTTCTGACTTTCAACAAAATGTAGGTACTTATTTATTAAATGCACAATACTAATTTAAACATAAATAATTAATAGGTTTCTTATTTATTTTGTAATTTTTTCAATATTTATAATTTCTGAATTGCAATAAATAATAATAATAGGTACCTAATAGATTTATAATGTGTGACAACCTTAGATTGATTTAATAATAAAAACAAATAATTTGTTTTGTAGTTCTATATAAATTTGAAATGTATAAATTATAAATTGTAATAAGAATAATTACCTATTAAYATATATAATTCATAATACTAAAATTACGTATCACCATTCACCAATGAAAAAAAAAGTGAGCYCCCCCAGAAAAATTGTCTGGATTCAACACTGAGTGCATGGGTTCAACTAGTATTTAATAAATTGCAGCATTCGAGTTAACCTATGTGTAACAATATAGGTACCTAACTTTATTATGAGTATTTCTTTCATAACTAATTATATAGTAATAATTAGGTATATTATAATTTAGTTCATATATTATCAATAACAGTAGAGATTTAGTCCAATTTTACTTAAATCTCATTGAATATTAAGCTCAGAACTAAGAAATTTCTAGTATTATTATTTATTATTTATTTTTACCCCTTAGTCACTTATTGACTTATTTCATATTATTTTTATATCAATGAAAATAATTTATTTTTGTTTTCTATAAAAATATTCTACATAAATGGATATTATTATGCATTTGATAAATGTTATATGAGAAATGGAGACTAAAAAATAACATATTTTACTGATAACAGAAACAGTACCAACATTTCTGAAACGGATACCTTTAATTTTTGTTATTAAAACCTGTGCCAAACTAAAACACTTATTTTATTTTTGGTGAACCTATACTAGAATTAGTATCAATTAATTCAATATGTTCCAGTCTAAATTTCAGATTTAGAATGAATGCATAGTATAAATTCAGGTTTATTGTCAGTAATCATTTACATAATTTCATAATTCTTATGGTCATTGTAAGTCAAAAAAATGAATGAGAACAAAATGTCATATACCTACATATAATACAAACGAATATAATACAAATTTGATAATTTTTAACAACAGATAATGAAGCTCATGTTAGCTAAAAATATTTATTTTGTTTTATTAATTTTAAATATTAAAAACTCAACAAATAAATTACATGCCTAATGTTTTTATTATAAAATTGGTTGCACCTATGTGTGTGACAATTTTTCAATTTCCAAAGTAACTCTTAAAAGTACGTTTCAGGAATGTAGTGACATTATAGTTAGTGGTGTTTTGATTGATTTATATGTAGATAATGTTATGTTTAAATATTTTTTGTCAACTTGTTCATAATTGCTATTATTTATATAGGTACCTAATTTTATTCATGATTGGCCTTGAAAAAAAGTTTTCCTTATCTTTTTCACACGGTTTTCATTGGATTGTAAAGATAGGAACTTAAAAATAAATTATTTTGTTATATCTATAATCTATATTGGCCGAATATTGATATTACCTAAGAAATTAAATTCTAAAAAGAAAAAAAAAATTAAATTAAATTCCTTAAAAATAAGCTATAAAAGTAGGTTAAATGAATTGTTTTGTTTTTATAGTTTATTTTATTAGTTSAGTATTTATTTATTTTCAATAAAAACATTTGGTTGTTGGTAATAAAAGTGATTCATATTCACAAAACTGTTTAATTTTGATTTCAGTTAAAAATTTGGAGTTAATTTTTTTTCCAAATTGAAAATAACTTTTAGTTGGTATTTTTTTTTTTAAACAGCAAAAAGCATAAAATTCATAACTATCCCAAAAAAGCTTTCAAAGGTAAATTAAATAATCTAATGTATAGGGACATTTATTCTGCTACATCAATCACATTTAAGCTTCTTTAAACTAAAAGTAGTAAAAAAAAGTATATGCTATCCAAATATATTTTAAGTTATAATCTCATCTGCATAGTGTTTTGTTTCTTATTGTTTCTAATAAAATCTGTAATGGCAAGTATATTTTTTCTTTTAACTGTGAGATCAGATAGGAATAAATTGTTGGAGCCCACTGGGCAAGTATCTATCTTGTTAAATTTAGCATGGCCATGAGATGTCTAGTTAGGTGTTTCAAGCAGTAAGTTATAGAAAATATAAATATTATTCACATTTTCTATACTTTTTAAAATTAAAATAATAATCTTGGGTGTTATAAAATACCTATGGTTTTTTATGTTAATTTTTCAATATTTAAAAAAAAAAGTAATAAATGTATGTTAGGTTATAAATACAAGAAATAATTTAGTGATTTACCTATAAAGCTTTATTTCACATAAAATATAATCAATTCAAAATTACTAATATTTTAATTTTCAATGTGCTATGTATTAATTTTTGATACTTCTAATAAAACAAAACTTAAGGTATAATACAAAATTGAAATTATTTTTGTAAGGTGTCTGGTGTTTTTAGAAAATACCATAGTTCTACATTAGGCCTAAGTGGCTTAAATTTATGGTAGAAAAAATAATAATTAAAGAACACAAAAAAAAACATTAGATGTCTACTGTCTGTTGCAGGCCGATAAAATTATGTTCAACCAATAAATAATGGGTAGATAAAATAACGTCTGAATCAATTGGTATCAGATAATATTATGAATTATGAAAGTATTATTATAATAAGTAATATTATTTATTTTAGTAATTGAGTATTAGTTATGGTTACTTTGATTCAAATCTTGGCAATTAGTGTATCTTTATTTTTATTACTTAACTTTATTCGTTTAAAATAGATGAATTTGTGAAAAATAAAGTAATGCATATCTAATTTGATACCTATAATTATGTGAAAATAAATAAGTTAATTATTTAATTATTAATGAATACTAAGTTATTATAAAATAAAAATGTAAATTACTTATAGAATTGAGAATTTTTTAAATACTTTTCAATAAATAGTATACTATTTCTTATACTATTATTATTATTATTGTTATTATTATTTCTTTATTTCCATATAAAATTTGTTTTGTTAATATCACATTATAACTAAAATAAAATAAATAATATATTACCTTTTTGGCTTAAAAATGTATAATGTATCTAGTATAAAAATTGTAAATTATAATTTTTCAGGGGGATTTTACAGTTATTTCAAGAATCTATTTGGTGAAAAAGAACTGAGAATTTTAATCTTGGGCTTAGATGGCGCAGGAAAGACTACCATATTGTATAGGTTACAAGTTGGTGAAGTTGTTACTACTATTCCAACAATAGGATTCAATGTCGAGCAAGTTACTTATAAAAATATTAAATTTCAAGTTTGGGATCTTGGAGGCCAAACGTCCATTAGGTAATATTTTATTTTTTAATGTAATTTCTTACATACGTTTTTTTGAATTGCATAATATTTAATATAAAATATAAAATATAAATATAAAACATAAATACATAATATGTATAATAATACATAAAAATAGTAGGTAAACCTTTATCCAACATCATAAATTGGTACTCATCTATCAGATCCATTATACTTTATAATAAAATATAAATTTATTTCTCTTATTTTAAATGGCTTTGTAGAAAAATAATTATTCATATTTTGTTTAATATTTTATATCATTATTCCAAAATTATTACTCATCTTAAAGTATAAGAAAAGTGTTCTAGTTAAAAATTAATTGTTTTAATTTTTAATTTAATCATTTATTTTATAGGCCATATTGGAGGTGTTATTATTCAAATACAGATGCTGTAGTATATGTAATCGATTCAGTTGATCGAGAAAGAATGGGTATAGCTAAAGACGAATTGATGTATATGTTAAAAGTAAGCTACATCTTAGTTTAATGTTTCTGGAGTTGATTTTAATTTTCACGAATTTATAGGAAGAAGAACTAAATGGTGCTATATTAACAATATTGGCCAACAAACAAGATGTTGAGGGTTGTATGAATGTAACTGAGATACATCAAGCTCTTGGATTAGATTCTTTAAAAAACCGAACATTCCAAATATTTAAAACATCAGCCAAAAAAGGTATAGGACTTGATGAGGCTATGGATTGGCTTTGTAACACTCTACAAAATCACAAATAATGAAATGCTATGTTTATTATATTTCTATTGTAATTAGAAAATTGTACAAATAAAATGTTATAATGTTTAATTAAATCCTCTCTATTAAATGAAAATGTTAATTCAATTACATAAAGATGGCTATTAAATTATTAGCTGTGATATTATATTTTATTCTCCACAGCTAGTTTTTTACGTTTCAAACATTTTATTATTATTTAGTTTTCATACTTATATATAAATAATATAAAAGTACAAATAATGCAGTTAGGCGGCTGAATGCAATTATTTGACATATTTAAACCTATAATAAAATAAAAACTATATATAATATAGAATATGGTCCAATTTAGATTTGAATTTGTTAACTTTTTTTTTTGTATTGTCGGAAAGTATGTTTTTTTTTGTCTATTTAAGTACAAGTTTATTTGACTAATAAAGGGTAACATTAATCATAATAATACATTATCTATAATAATGATATATATAAATTGAAAACACATTTTCTTCATTATCTGAAAAATAAAGGATAAGAAATCAAATTTTGTTTTTTGAATAAAAATTAAGTGGTCACTACTTAGTGAATTTCTTTATTAGTTATGCCTTTTATAGTCTTATTGATGTAAAAACCCATAGATTACATGATGTTTATCAGCAGTTATTTGTAAGAATCCAAGTTGTCATCATCAATGATATCGTTGACGAGAATTTAATATATATCTGAAGAGATACATATCTTTCTTTCTTCTTTCTTTTAGGCATTTTAAAGACCATTAAGGTCCATTGCCGCAGCAACAACATCCCTCCACTTCTCCCTGTCCCTTGACACTTTTTCTCCATTCTCTATCCCTATCATTCTGAGGTAATCCTTAATTCTATCTGCCCACCGTTGACTCTGGGTCGTTTTGTGCTAGGTCTCCATCTCGTTGTGTTCCCCAGTACTCCTTCCGATCTCCAAACATGACCTGACCATCTTAATCTACTACTCTTCATAATTCCTATAATATTGGCTTTTCCAAATAACCTTCTCAACTCTTCATTTGTCCTGACTTCAAACTCACCTACATCATTCTTTTTTGGTCCATACATTTTTCGGAGTATTTTCCTTTCAAAAACACCCAATTTGTTTTCATCCGTTAGATGGTTGCCCATGCGTATAGTACTACGGGTCTAATTAAAACTTTGTACAATGTTATCTTTGATCTTCTTGAGAGTAATTTTGATTTGAATAGTGTTGATAGTCCAAAGTAGCATCTGTTTGCTGTTATCAGCCTTTCTTTTATTTCTTCGTGACTATTCGCGTTTTCATTCACCCACGCTCCAAGGTATTTGAAGTGTTCTACTCTTTCAAATGAATAACCTTCTATTTCTAAATTTMTCTCCGTGTGATGTTTCCTGGATAATATTATGTATTTTGTTTTCTCTTYATTTACGCTAAGACCGATTTCTGCCCCTTTCCTTATTAGTTCTTTTGCGGATTGTTTTAGACTTTMCTCATTTTCTGTAGTTATCACTAAATCATCAGCATACGCTACAATTGCAAGCTGTTGGTTATCACTGATTTTTATTCTTTTGGCCTTGCTAAGGACTTGTCTCACCACTGACTCTAAGACAATGTTAAACAAAGCCGGTGACAAAGCGTCTTCTTGTCTGATACCTGTCGACACTAGGAATTCATTTGAGTAGTCTCCTCCAAAATTCACCTTGCATTTAGAGCCTTGTACGCACGATTGAGCTTTTCTGGTATTCCTATCCGGGCCATTACATTCCACAATTTATTTCTATCTATCGAGCCGTATGCTGCTTTGAAATCCACAAATAGCACATGTACGTCTTTATTGAATTCATTGCTTTTTTCTGCAACATGTTTAATTATATGAATCTGATCTATAGTCTATTTACCTACCATGAATCCTGCCTGGTATTCTCCAATAACTTCTTTAATAAATGATTTCAATCTGTTTAATAGGAGGTTAGATAATACTTTGTACGAAGTGTATAACAGAGAAATTCCTCTATAGTTCTTTGGATCCATTTTATCTCCCTTTTTATGTACCGGGCATAGGACAGACATTTTCCATGATTCTGGAATCTCCTCCTGTTCCCATATATCAGTAATTAGGTTGTGAAGTTGTTGAGTCAGCTTCTTTTCTCCGTTTTTTAGGCATTCAGGGACTACTTCATCAATTCCAGGGGCCTTTCCATTTTTCAGCATTTCTAATCCCATTTCTATTTTTTGTATCGTTGGTTTGTCCAATAGTTCTTCCGCCGTTACATTAACTTCTATTGTGGTCCTATTTTTTTGTCGATTCAACATCTCTTCAAATATCCTTTTAAATTCATTTGCTATTTTACCTTTATCAGTTATAATGGTTCCATCATCTTTTCTTACCATCAATGTTTTCGGTCTATACCCTGTTCTTTACTTTTTCAAACAGAGTTTTTATATTATTTTTGTTGTTGTTATTTTCTATTTCTGTAACTCTTTGTTTTTCCCATAGTCTCTTGGCCATTCTTATTGTTTTTTTTGCTTCTCTTTGTTTACTTGCTAGATTTCTTTTCTTTTAATTACTCGGATTCTGTATCACCTTCAGGCGCGCTTTGTCTCTTATTTCTAAGGCTTTTTTGCAGTTTTCATCAAACCACATTTTCTTTTTTTCACTTTGTGTGTTTCCCAATATTCTTTCCGATGTATCTTTGATTACTTGCACTACTTTCTSCCATGTATTATTTATGTCTGATTCCTGGTTTATTCGTTGTAATTCTTCATTCAGTCTATCCTGATACAATTTTACTACATTAGTTTCCAATATGTCTCTGTTAATTCGTTTTTTCCGGAATTTCTTCTCTGTTTTTCCACTGATATTCTAAAATGTATCTTAACTCTTACCAGGAAGTGGTCAGATATTGCACTGCTTCCTCTCATGCTTCTTACATCCCTGACGTTTGACCTTATCCGATTGTCTACTAGTACATGGTCTATTTGGTTCCTTATCCTAACACATAGTGACATCCATGTCTGTTTATGCATATTTTTATGATGGAACCTTGTGCTACTTACGACTATATTTCTGTTTGACGCAAATGTAACAAGCATACTACCATTTTCATTCGTTTCTCTGTGTAGGCTTTCTTTCCCAATTGTCGGTCTATATGTTATCTCTTTGCCAATTTTGGCGTTGAAATCTCCTAGTAGTAGTATTTTTGGTTTCCAGTTTGGTAGACTATCATATAGTATTTCCAACTCATCATAGAAAGCAGTTTTTATGTCATCGTTAGTCCTCCGTTGGTGCGTAACAATTAATCATTATTACGTTGTACCATTTACATTTAAGTTCTAATATGTATATTGTATAGGCATATTGATTATAATTATATATATATTATAATTATTATTTATATTTATATTGATTCGTTTATTGATTTAAAATTTACTATTTTCGATATAATTTTTATTATCTTTCACTATGAAGCCTACTCCTCGCTCATGTTTCGTTCCCCCACTATAAAACATTGTCATCCCCTGGGATGTTATACTCCCTGAGTCTTCCCATCTCACTTCTTGAATTGCAGTAATATCTAACTTATATCGTTCAAGACACGATATAGTTGTCGTCAAAGCTCCGGTCCTATATAGAGATCGCACGTTCCAGGTTCCAATTGTTGAGATACATATAGTCACATAATAATTACTATGCCCTCTTACATTCCAGCATTTATTAGCATTTKTTATTTAAAATATTATGTATAACTAATTCCTTAAAATGAATCACTTTTAACCACCTTATTCGTGGGCATATAAAATTTGTATATGTTAGTTGCAATGATATAAACTATGTCATTGTCAATAATTATGAGGCAATATAATTAAAGACTGGACATTATAGAATATCCAAAGAAAGTACTTCTTTAAAAATTAATTAATTAATTAATTGTTAAATGTTGTTATTTGTTCCAAAAAATATACATACATTTATATTTTTACTGTGTATTATATAAACTATCAATTTTTCAATGATTATGTTTATTATTGTCATCATATTTATATTTTATAATTTGTTTGTATAACGATTATTAATAGGTAATAGGGTATTATAATATTATATTATGTATTTTTTTAAATATCTATTTCAATAAAATAAGAAAAAATAGCATTATAATATTCATAGCACACTGCAATAGCTATTATTGTTACTTACTAGAATATTTACATTTGTAGACATTCATGAATCATGATAATGATTAAGGGTAATGTATGAAAATTTAATTATCATTCATATCGTTATTATTTAAAATAACAAGTAAACAACATACATTTTGCAAAATAGATTATCTTTATTAATTAATTCTTCACCATAATGAAATATAAATATTGCTGCTAACATATATAATGTATATTATACACATAACGACATAACATTTATTATTTAATAAAAATGGCTATTTCAAATTATAATTGCTATAATATATGCATAACTTTTTTAATTTTTTACTAATAATACATTAAATTGTTAACATATTTTCATGAAGTATTTTTTTCACATTAAAAGTAAATGTATTTATRCAGTAGAACCTCTCTAATCCGTCACCTTCGGGACTGGGGGTGTGGTCGGAACGCGAAATAGGTCGGATTATCAGAATATACAGAACATTTTTATTTACATATTACATACATGATTAAATTAGAAATGTATTATATTTTACAATACCTAGAAAAAAAAACAGTTATAGATTTTTGTTTAGCAAATGATATTCTAGACTTAGCTAAGACAGTAAGACTAATAAGTGAAATATTAAACTAGCAATTAATTGTATATATCTTCTATAAATTGGAAAATCCAAATTGTACTTTTTAAATTACATACATAGTATTCATATCAATAATACTATGGTCAAATCAACCGGAGCGGCGGACTAGCCGAGGGCGTACGAAGGGGTTCTACTGTAATATGATATTTGTTTGATTTGATTGTTTAATAGTTGGTTTTTGTACATCGGAGACCTTATTTGTAAAATATTAGAGCATGATAAAATATTGTCGCCGTCTAACAAGTGCGTAAAATAGGTACTAAATTTACCCTTAGCAGATCGCGTGTAGCTTCGTTAGTTTAATAATTAAAGTGAATCAACCTTTTATGAAACTTGATGGTATAGACACTATCTGTGTTTGTAAGTGGGTTTTTTTTTACGATAGTTTAGTTTTAAAGTGAGTTATGAGCATTGTAGTTAATGCTATTTTATATAATATGCAAAACTTTCTAAACATTTTTACTATTATTACAAAAACCCACGTACAAACACAGATAATGATGTTCTTTATTTTCATATTTTTTTATATGTTCAGAAATAAAAGAATCAAATTTAGCGATAAGTTCTAAACATCCAAGGTAATTTCCATTTTGTTCAGAGCCGAAATGTTCATTTTGTCCTTTTAAAGCTAATTCTCTAGAAGTTAAAAATTTCAAAGTTTCCACAACTCTATGCAAAACATTTTCCCAATATGCAAATTATTAATTGTTTCCTTTTTCATTTCCTTATCTATTCTACATTGAACAAAATTTATCATCCATAAATGCCATGATTTTACTGACTATGCGTGTGACAAACTCTTCTCATGCTCACCAACTTTATCATAACATTTTTCCAATCAGTAAAACCTTTTACTTGATTTTCAAACAATGTTTTTTTTATTACCAAACAATAAACATTGAAAACAAAATAAAGAATTTTTTAATTGTGAATATAAAATCCATTCCCTAAAACGAGTTTCTCCATTTTGCATTTGTCTATAGAATATATTTAATGGAAGGTACCTCACATATTTACCAAAAACTCTTTTAGTTTTTTTTAAATGTATTAATTTCAAATTCTGCTTAGGCGGATTTAATAATAAATAATTAATACTTGTAGAGTTGATTTCCAATACTGCCGGATCAATATTTGGAATTTCAGTTTCTACAGATTCAGAAACGTTATTTTGTTCATTATTTGCTAGTAAGCAAATAGGGTCTACGTCCACTGTACATGTTTCAATGGTATGTGAATTGCTTGTAAAATCCTATAAATAGTATGGATTAAAAGAATTATCAATTAAAAACAAATGTATTAACAAACTTTATTATTGGTTTTGGCAATAGTTGTATTGTTATCATTTTGATCAATAGCATCTGGTGGATTTTTCACAGAAGAAGATACTTCATTAGTACATATTACTGCTGTTTCGGCATTAGACATTAGTTATCAAAGACTCAAAATTTGTATTCTGAAAAAATATTATTCATTAAATTAAAAATATAAGGTACCTAATAGTTGATAATTAATAAATAATAAGTATAAACATTATATTTAACATACTTCATTATTATTATTTGCAATAACATTAGGTAGATTGTTTGCAAAAGATGTTACTTCATTAGGACATACTCGTATTACTGCTGTTTTGGCATTGGTTATCAATGACTCAAAATTTGTATTCTGAAAAAATATAGTGAGTATATCAAAATTATTTAATTGTATATTTATGTTTTAAACCTATCACATAATAAACATTCTGCTTACCATAGAGAAATATGTTTCCATTTTTGGAATTTTTTTACTTCTTCCCATTTCTTTGCCTTTGCTACAGCTTTCCTTTTAATTTAAGCTCATCCTGGTCTTTTTTTAATTGAGTATTAAATACACAACAAAATCAAACTAGCCAGTTACTCAGTTGTCACTTTGTCATTAATTATATAAAGGTTAGGGTAGTTACAAATTTACAATAGTTATGCATATTTTTTATCATTACTATTATATTACTTTTGTATTGGTCTTAGGTTAGGTTATTGATCTTCTCTTACTTACTCAACTATTTCTCTGTTATAAATTTCTCTAACTGAGGTGGACATAGTTCCGGGTTTTGTTCCAGCTAGTCCCAATTAGTACTTTGTACCAATAGCTCTTTTTAAATGAACCATAGGAACATCGACTAACCTAGGTGCATGGTTGTGCAATTCTAATACTGTTATTGTATTGTCATTTATATTTGTATTAACATACGCAGTGGCAGGACAAAATGCTGTTTGATTTTTTTGATTTTCGCACTCTACGCATCTAAATAGTTATAAATTAAGATTTTACTAGCATAGGCGCAATTTCAATTTTTTTCTTGGGGGGGCTTGTGAAAATGTACAACACTGGCTTGTGGGGGGCTTTGCCCGCACACCCCCCTAGGCCTTTTAATTATCTTGTGTCACAAAATACTTATAATAATAACCTCATTATTATTTAATCACTTACACCGGTTTCAAATTTCAAGCGTGGGTGTGATTATTATAATTAATAACATAATTTCAACATAATAATAAATGTATTTATTTTTTTTAAATATATATATGTATATATCAGTAAGTCATAATTTAACACACTGCTGTACATTTTTTTTAATATTAAAACAAATTATAACTGTAACCTTTTGTTAGTCTTAGCATACTCAATTAATATATCCTYAGATTTAAGCTGATTTGATACTTCCCTTTCAATGTTTATTATTGCCAAACTAGAAAATCGCTCTTGATCCATCGATGTACGCAGCCAATTTTTAATTCTTCTCATAGTGGAGAAAGAACGCTCGCATGTGGCTGAACTAACAGGAATAGTAAGAGCCACTTTCAACAAAGTGTATAAATTTGGATAAATTTCAGATTGTACCGCTGCTTTTAGTTTATCAAAATCAATCTCTAATTCTTTGCTTGATCGAAGAACACAATTTTTTACTACCATTATTTCACTTTTCAATGCATTTAAATCAATATTAAACAACTCCAATAAGAAAATAATTTATTTTAATATTAAATTGAATACATCTCATTTTAATAATTTATCCTTACTTTATAGTTTTCAATGAAAAAAGTGCTGTCATCATAATTTAACTTTATAAAATTATCAACTGCTGTTGCCATCTTCAGACTTTCAGTAGAAAATCTTTTTTTTATGTTTGTAACAATACTATCAATTAATTTGAAATAAATTATTCGCCAGTGTTTTTCATTCTCATTAGTTTGTTCAGTGCTTGTAGTTGATGATAAATGGAAATCCTTCAAATGATTTGGTTCTCTTTTTAGTCTCTTAGAAGTAGAATCTAAAATCATCAGAAATTTTTAAATATTATAATTCATATCAATAATTACATAAGTATTTAAACTAACCTTTTACAGGGGTTTCAATACCATGAGTTTCAGCAAACATTTTAACTGTAGACCATACTTCAGAAAAACACTTATCTGAATGTTTTTCTTCAAACGTTTTTATTACACCTTCAATAACTACCTAAACTAGCTTTGCCCAGTGTAGCTGTTTTTTGTTGTAATTGGGTGCTAAGAATATTGATAACTTGTAATATACCTATCTTCCAAAACAATGAGGTGAAAAATAAATGCAATTGTATTCATTATAGATAAAATTCCTATTACAAAATGATTACTAATCAATTAATTATTATTGAAATACAATTAACTATAGTTATGAGTAAAACAAATTTGACAAATATTATATAATAATATAATATAATATAATACAATTATAATATTATTATTATTTACCTAAGGCCTGGGAAATATCTCGATCATTAGAATTCTCAATTTTTTCTTTTAATGCTTCAATTATTGCTTTAAAATTATGTTTAACTGAAGTACAATTCTTGAATCTGCAATTYAAACGTGTATCACTTATTGCTGTAATAGATATTTTTTTCAAACCTAGTTGTTTTTGAATTTCTTTAAATTTGAAGTTGTTTGTTGGCATAGAAAAATGAATATATATGGATTCAAGACAATTAAACACGTATCGGGTTTCCTAAAAATGTACATAATATAAAAGTTATGATACATTTAAAATAATGAACAGTGTTTTGCTTTACTTTAACTATTTTGCACATGTCAATTACAATTAAATTGACTCTATGTGCCATACAATGAGTATATATGGCATAGGGGTGTTTCAACTTTACTTTTTGTTGCACACCATTAAATCGGCCCAACATCACACTAGCTCCATCGTATGATTGTGCGACTATTGGTATTTGAACAATGTTACTAGCATCCAAATAATTAAACATAACAGTACTCAAAGAATCAGCATCTTGTTTCTCCGACACATTTAAGAAAGTTAAAAATCGTTCAACAACATCTAATTTTTTAGTATATCTTATACATAAAGATAGCTGCTCTTCATTGAAAGATCTAGAAAGTATGTAAATATAAACATAATTGTTTTTTATCAGGTATATAAACTATCACTATATTTACCTTGCTTCATCCACCATTACACTAAATACACCACATTCAATAATTTCATTGCAAATTAAGTCATTCATTTTCTTAGCACATAAATCAATAATAGTGTTCTGCACAGACCAACTTGTATAATTGGTTTTGGAATAAAAATGATTTGCAAATATTTCATTAAATTTGGCAACCATAATACAAGTTTCTTTAAAATTTCCTAAAATGTATTTTATAATTTTAAAATAAGAATATTTTAACATGTTTAGAAATACAAACCTCTGTTTATGGAAATCTCGTTTTCTCTATGGCCTCTAAAAGCAATTCCTTGTTCCCTTAAAAACAATGTAATATCAATTAACTGCATCATGTAGGTTCTATTTTCTTTTATTTGTTGCATACTTGAAGAAACAATTTGGTTATGAACAGATCCATTTTTTTGCATTAATTTGTAAGCTGACCATTTAGACATTGCAGTTAAATGATGAATACAATTATTATGCAATTCAATTTTTGTACAATACATCTTTGAATCTCTATAACCACTTAACTATTTTAACATTTAATTATTACAATTTTACATACCTAATTAAATATATAAAACTAAGTAATAAGACTTACTTTTTTCCAATTRTTGAAACCAATACTAATGAATGTTTCCTCAATATGGCCAGAGTCATTCGAAAATAGGTAACCGACAAGCATAACAAAAAATTGCATCCTTTTTAATGCTATACTCAATCCATTGAAATTTTTTATAGTAGTTACTCGAAAATGCTCTGTTTTGTTGTCCAAATTWRGTTTTTGGAAACACCTAGAAAGATTGAAATTATTAACTACCTACACAAATTAGTAATTACAACTTATACATTACATATAAATTATGACTAATACTAGGGCTGCCATAATTTAATCAAGTAAAACCGGGACAGACAGAAAAATAGTAAATAAATTTAGAAATAATTATTATTGAACTATATTTGCCATAGGGTATGCTGGGACGCTGAGTATGTATTAAAAAACGACACAATAGGTTATATTTTATAACTTATACACTTTATTACTATAACAAATTGACAAAGTAAACTTTTTTTTTAATTTATTGTTTTATATTATTTAATAATATTAAATTAGTATATTATAATTATAAAATAACAACAACAATTTAATTATATCCTAAAACCGGGACACAAAGTCGAAAACCAGTGAAAGTCTCGGTTTTCCGGGACGTATGGCAACCTTAACCAATACGAAAAAGGAATTTGGAATAGTGCTTACTTTTAAAATTGGTCTCATAGGTCCTGAATTTAAATCGCCAAGATCTAAACATCCACTTGAGGTATTATTGTTAATAGATTCATCATCATTAACAATATTGGTGTTAGTAGCAGTAGAGACTGATATATTTTGATCAACATTTATTTTTGTAGAAACTGTAGAGCTTGAAGAAGTAGTTATGGATTTATTTTTGATATTAAAAATGTTGAATAACTTTTTATTTTCCATTTTTAAAAACGTTGAAATAATAAGTTTGAATACGCTATTCATGCAAGATAAACGACAGCGGACAGACTAACATAGTAACATAAACGCGGACTTTTATAATGAAAACGACAAGCGAACAGCGATCACGTGTAACCAAAATACAAATGTATACAGAATTCAGATAAGCGCACTAACACTAGTGTCTAAAAGGACGAACGGAAATACCACATTCTTTGAATTTATCATAATAAAAATAAACTTTTAATCTAATATTAATTACTATACAGTATAAAATAATAGACACATGTCAAATATCATGTGGGCTTATCGCCTATTACTATAAATATATGCAAATAATTTAGTACTTACTGTTAACTTCTTCATCTACATCCACATCCACATCTACAATAATTTCTTCTGGAAGATTGGGAAGAAGTAAAACATAATTATGGTCATGTAAATGATTCATATATTGAATAATAATATTGAAAAAAAAAACTAGATATACCTATGTATAATAAGACTGAAAGTGTTTTATAAAACTGTTCTGTAAATTTCCCGCAGTAAAGTATAATAAATAAAAGAAAACTAACATGATATTTTGTAGATAAGTAAAATGCCATAAATTAAATAAAAATAACTATATAATATTATCTTGACATAAATTGATTTTATATGTTACATCCTTTACATCTTGGCGTTAACGAAGTAATTCATTTTTCCTGGTTAGATTTTATAATTGATTAAACTGATTAAAGTATGTAAGTAATACTTACTAACTTTTA